CATGTGTTACCCTTGTCATCCCATGTGTTACTCACCCTAATATCCAGCCCAAACAGTATGGACTAATTTTCATTTACAAGCTCACTTAAAAACCCATTCCCTGGCCTCGGCAGGCAGAATGAGTTCCATTCTTGCCTGACGGACGGCAGGGGGTGAGAAGCCAAGCACTAACGCTCACACAAACCAATACTGGAAAAGGTCTGGAAAGAACTGAGAAATTCATGCTGATTTCACTTTCCTTAGCTATGTAACTCAGGAATAAATATAAATGAAATATGCAATGAATATGGCCCGGACCCAGGCTTGACCTTCTGGGCCCCATATGACTTGCATGGTGAGCAGGCAGTGTTTCAACGAGCACCCCCCACCCGCCAAGGCCATCTGCTAGAAGCTCACTGGCAGCCAGGAAGTCACAAATTATAAGCTCCAGGATTCCTCAAAAGTGCCAGCAGTCTTGGGGAGTAGAGGGGGTAAAGGCATGGGGAGAACATGCCTTGTCTTATGCTGGGAGGATGTGTGACTAGGCTCCTATTATAAAATTCAGATTGGCTCAAACTTAGTATCAATGAAGTTTTGAAAAACCTCAGTAAATCCTGAAATGCTGGAAGTGTGAAATTAACCAGAACCATAAACTTGACTTGAGGGCATTTTCCAAAGACAATGGAAAGACAGTAAATCACAGTCAATCAATAACTAATTTCAACCGGGCTGGGCTGATCTGTACCTATTCTCTTTGCGACCATGCATGGTGATTTTCAGGAAGAATTTTGAAGTCCCATCTCATGACAGCCTACCAGATTAAGAAAAGACAGACAAGCCTCTTTCAGCCCATTGATATGGCTGGAAAGCCAAGCCATGGGTACTGGATGAGCTCTGTAACTTACAGGTGAGCTAACAAAAGGGCCCCCGAGATTCCGCCACTTTTTGTTCCATCCTCTCTGCCACGTGAAAATCCTCTTCTCAAAAAAGAAACGTCTGCTTGGGAAAACAAGAGTATGTAGAGGCAGAACAAATTGGGAAGGGGATGCCAAAGGGGATCCCCAAAGGGGATGCTTTGATTTTGAAAAGCAACAGTGTCTAGCATCTCTGCAGACTCACACATTCGATTCAGTCCCAAGGTAATTTATACTTCACCAAAGAGTTTCCAGTGTTATAGTAACGCTAGATAAGAGCCATCAGACCTGAAGTAACAGCCTATTTTAATGCCTGGGGAGAAAAAAAATAAAACTTGCATCTATTTATGGAAATTTACAAAGGTGTAAGAAAATGACACTTTTCCCCATCCCCATCTAACAGATGCAGTAAACAGTAAGTCCTCAACACCCAAGAAAGATGCTATGAGCATTTCCACTTACGTAGGCATATAAATACAATTATTTCCTTAAAAAAACAAACCACAAAAATATTGGCAGTAGGTATACATCCTACTGGGCGTAGGTATTTTATGTTATATACAGTTAAACACCTATTTGAATTGGGTACGATGGAACTTAATTGTTTTAGTCTACGCATAGCAAAGCAACCAACTGAATCTAATATTAGCCCTTCATCAGATAAAACATTTTCAGAGAAACAAACTGCTATATTTTCCCCTCAAAGAATAGCAAGCATTTTAAACACATTTCCCAGAGATGTTACGCCGAGGAAAACAGCTTAGAAATGTGACTTTAAACAAACCCGTTCTCTGGCTACCAACAACAAGACAAATTGGAACAACTGCCTGGCTCTGTTCTCTCCAACGCTCCTTCTGTCCACCTGTCAAAGGCAGTTGTGACCCCACCAACCTAAGAGGCAGCTCTGGAGCCTTGAGATGCGCCACCCTGCGCGGATGCCCTGTGCTCCGCATGCCAGCATCCTCATTAGGGATTATCCGGCTCACTTGAAGCAGGGAGAGAGGAGATGGGCTGGCTGCCAAGCGTTTCTTTCAACACAGATTCTGAAAGAAGATCCTGCAAAGTGCCGAAAGCCCAGATTTTCAGCAGTTCACTTTCTAGACTCTGTTACGTAGCAACCATGCCAGCTCACGGAGGGTACCAACCAAGTTAATATTTTGTTTAAATGACACACTCCATTAACTCTCTAGGAAAACCCAAGTTTTCTTCATCAACTTACCTACTGTCAGATAGCCTCACTGGAACAAGACATCCACTGGTGGATTGGTGAGCTTCTTTAATTTATTAACAAAAAAATTTTTAACAAAAAAATCTGAAAATGGATCTAACAGTTTCTCAGCAGGGAGAGCAAAAGGTGACCCTTCCCTGTAACCATTTGGGCTAATATTATTAAAAGGAAATTAGCAGGCACTTAATATGTACATAATGTCCTTTAGTTAAAAGATGACTTATACAGTTGCATTTTGAAAGATACTCATTTCATTCAAAACCTTGCTTTGAAAAGTGATAACTCAATAACACTGCTCATAGGGTTTGAGCCCATTGACTTGCACCAACACAGACAAAATAAAAACAGAAGACTCATTCGGAAGAATTAGGAACCCCCAGGAACCGAGCTTCTGTGAGCCTTCCTGGAGGCATATGACAAAGAAGCGTGAGAAGCCAATGAACCACACTTTGAAATTAACTTGAGAGCCCGGTGCTTCCCTTTAGGAATATGAAAGCACTAGCAAAAGAAACTACCAGACCACCTCTGCAGAAGGTTTCGCTTCCAGCAGAATGCTGCCACATGTCTTGAGAACACAAAACAAAACAAAACAAAACAAAAACAAAACCCAAAACACTCACAGAGGCTAAATAATGTAAAAAGTACTGTATTGAGGAACTGTTGCCATAGATAAGGAAACGATGCCCACTGGATTTACATGGGGGTCTTGTTTTCTTTTCAACCATCACATCAGTTTAAATTGACATCAATTTAGAGGGATACGTGGCCAACCATTAAGCTGAGTTAAAATCTTCAACATTTTATTTTCTGATTATAAAATCATTAAACTCCCCCTAGTAAAGGTTTTGAAAAATACCAATGGTACACAGAGGAAAAATCAAAACCATCCTTCATCCAACCACCCACAGACAGCCCCTGGCCTGGGCAGGCATGTTTCTAAGAATATGAGGAAGCTGCTGGTTCTGTGTGTTTTTAGGGATATCAAGAAATCCAAAAGCCATTTTTCCATTTCCACAGCCTTGTGCATTTTTGTAGGAAAAAACAAAAAGGAAACAGTCCCCTCTTGCTCCACTACAACAATTTAACCGTCAGCCAAGTATCACAATTTCCAAGTTGAATGTGTAGATCATTGCAGCACCGACCTCTCCTTAGCATGCTCAGACTGCAGCTAGACCCAGGACTCAGATAAAAGCCACTTAACTTTTCCTCCGCTGAGAAAGAGGCGGATGGTGGGAAATGAACTAGCATTGTTCAGTCCCCCATACCATGACTTTTGATTCTCAGCAAAATGCCAGTTTTGCACTATTTCTTTAAGGTTGAAAGAGTCCCTGCCTATAAAAAGTAAAGCATGACCATGCAGTCTAACTTCCCTTTTTTGCCCAGGTGCCAGCAGAGAGCATCTTCCACACACAATGACATAACAAGGGATAAATGATAGAATAACCAGATACCCACCTGGAAAACTGTGCAGCAAGCATCAGGCTCACAACACCTTCCCACCATAACGTCATGCTACTTTGGTACCAAATTACTGCCCCAAGACTCTTGACGGACTCCTGAAGTACCAAGTTAAGATCTGACTTGGAATTGAACATACACTGCTAATGTTCAGGCTTAACATCTCACAGCAAAAAAAAACAAGCACACCTACCCCAGCAAGGTAAAGAGGAAACAGAAGCTGATGGAGAGAAGGCATTAATATGAAAACAGACTCTCTCTCTCTCAACACTTAGGAGAAGCCTTTGAAATAATAACAGAACTAGAAAATATTTCTAAGCCACTGAGCCTTTGGTACCTCATACTTCATCAAGTGACATATTTACACAAGTGGCCCTCCTGGACTGGATATTTCTTCTGTCATATTCTGGATTTCAGCTGTTTAGCTTACAATCAAATGACATTAATAACCGGTGACAACGTTTCTTAAAGGGCAATTAGGCAAAAAAAGAAAAGACATCCTGAAAATCCAGCCTACCCTTTTACTTTTTAATTCACGGAAACCAAACAGTATTTTTTTTCTTTTTTTTCAGGGGATGCTTCCTCCACCTTTAACCCATGCATGAGGGTTTCAGAGCTTCATCACTGCCAATGTCAACATAGACTGTCCTTATTTTCCCCTCCTCCTAACTGCAAAGAGTCCCTTCAAGCGGCGGCTACCTGGAAATCCACCATCTAAGCCTTCATTTCGCCAGGAGCCCATCACTCAGCCTTTGAGGTCTAAGATTTCCCCCCCTGGAAAGTGCTCACAGTGTTTATATTTGCTGGAAATTTAAACTCCCTGCTGAGCACAGCATCTACTGTTGCATCGATATATTCCACTGCCTGCGCGATCTCAAATGGGGAGAAAATAAAGTCCAGATGCAATCGAGACAAGGGATTTGGCATCCGTGGAGAAAAGTGCAAACCAGTCCAATCCTCTACCCCAAGCGCGGCAGCAGAGTCTGGAGCTCCCTCTCCGGGAGTCATTCCAAAGGAAGGAGCCTCCGGAACTGGGGGGAGCTGTGGCATTCACCCCTGCCGCGGGTGAGGGCAAAGGCCCGGGCATGAAAAGTTTGCCCAAGGAGCTGGGGGCTGTGTGCCATCTGAAGGGCACTTTCTGCTACCGGTAGGGACGCGCCGGCTGAGTCTCGCTCGCGCTGGCCAGGACAGGCGTGACCGTGTGAACCCGGGCGCAGCGTGCACCCGGGTTTTCGTTAATGACAGCAGCCTGCAACTCCCAGCAGGGGAGCAGCGCCGGCCACTGCCGGGCGGAAAGGGTTACAAGCCACAATGCAAGGCGGTTTCGCCGCGGCCGTGGGGGCACCGAGTCCCCGGCCCCCTCCGGGTCCGGGTCCTGCTCTCTCGCCTCTCCTCCGCCCCGGCCGCCGTACGATCCCTACCTTGCGCGCTGTGCTGGTGGTTCTCCATGTTCGCCGCCGCCGAGTCCGCCGCCGCCGAGGCGCTGGCCGCTGCTCCCGGGCCCGGGCCGGGGCCGCCGCCGCCGCCGCTCAGTTCCGCCAGTCTCCGGTTGGTGGCCGTGAGTTCGGCTCGCAGGTTGGTCATCTCCTGGCTGGCCGACTGGACCGCCCCATCGATGCGGAGCGCGAGCTGCTTATTGTCTTCCATCATGCTCAGGATTTTGGCCTGGGGGCGAGAGAGGTGACAAAGAGCTGCATGATGCGCCGGGGGCGCGCGGCCGGGCAGCCCCGGCTCTACCTGTTGGGTCCCCCGCGGCCCGGCTCCCCCGAGCCCCGACCCCTAGGCACCGGCAGCGCCGGCTCCTCCGGCGCAGGAATGACAGCGGCGCCTCCAGCCGGATCCGCGGCGGTAGCGAGGCGGCGGGGGGGGGGGGGGGGGGGGGGGGGGGGGGGGGGGGG